GAGAGGAAAAGTGAGAAATAAATTTCTCTAACCTTAAACCCTCAAATACCCTAGGAGTTATGACACTCTCGTTACAGAGAGACATCTCTCGCTACAGAGAAAATATAAAAGAAAATTACAATCTGGTTTCTGCATAATCTCGCTACAGCAAGATCTTTTTGCTATAGCGAGATTGCACCCAGAAAATACCCTATCTTTGTTGCCTTCACGCTACAGCGAGAAGTCTATCGCTGTAGTGAGAATGCAACAGAGACACCTAACTCTCCCAAGACCTTATCGCTACAGTAAAAATGTCCATATAGTACACACTAACCTATAGTTCCAATTAATCCAACTTAAAAACAAAGTTCACATTCATATTCCAACCATAATATACACACACACACACATATATATATATATATATATATATATATATATATATATCCACATTACCACACAAGTTAAACACACATTCAACTAGTAATCCACATATTTTCACACACATATTTATATCATCACATAAATCAAATGCACATTTAAAAAAGAATTCACAAATTATATTAATAAACAAATACTATTATAAAACTCGGAACATTACACTTTACCTTTACTTTTTACTTTATTTATTTATTTTTATCAAAATTATTGATTAATTATGAACCAACATTGCATTGATAAGTTTCAGAAATCATCAATTAAATATTTTTTCAAAATTACCAACTATAATATAGAGATGATTATTTATATAAATTATCGATTAAATATTACTCAAAGAATAAAATTCTTTAATAGGTATTATTTATTTATTTGTTATTTTTTATTTCCTCATGATCAAATCTTTATTTAGGAGCATAATATTTAATTTTGAAAAAAATTTAACCTATAAAACTATGTATCTATAATTTAAAATATTTTTTTCTAATCAAAGTCACCTATCACCCTGCGCATTAGTGATTTGCTAAAAGATGAGTTTGTATTAGTTCAACAGCGGTGTAATATAATTTCTTTACTAAACCTTTTTATATACAACTCACTACTAATATATGCATTTGTGGTCTATGAATGCTTGACTTTTATTTATTACTTTTCTAATTTCAAAACGCATTCTTCTTTTATAGAGATCTCATAGCTTATACATAGGTTGAAGTATTAAACACAGCCAAAATAAAAGTCTGCTACAAGTTTTTATTTTTCTCATCAATTTGATAATTTAAAAATTGTCTGCAGTAGCTAAGTATGTTAGAGTCAATGTAGATGTTTAAAAGGTAAACAAAAGGTTGCAGGGTTTTATTCCACTGTATTATTGTCCTGAATTTTTTTTTTAATTTTCTGTACATAAAATTCATGATATAAGAAATTTTTACACACATTTATAAATTATTACCATTTTAATAATACATGTCATTTATTTATATTAATCTACACTTGATTATCTAATTATAAATAATTATATCCATTAATATTATTAATTTTAATAATTAATTAAAAAGTATATTTATTATATATTTTAATTGAGTATTTATATTGATACATTAAAATTAAACTATTTATATACTGAGATTTTTAACATTAAAATTTATATATAGCCATGACTTTATTTATGTCATAGTATGCATCATTCACTTTTTAAGAATTTTATTAAACTTAACTCTTAGAATTAAGTTTAAACATATATAAATAAAAAAAATTATAAAAAAATACATAGTTATTATATTAAAGTTATAAAAATATAATAAATATTTATTTTTTAAATAAAATTTTACTATTATTAACTGCTTATTTTTAATCTTAAAAGCTAAAGTTAACAAAACTCTTTATTTAAATATTCTTTTTAAAAAGCTAATAACATACTACTTTAATTATATACTAAAATATATTAAAAAAATTGTAAAGTATGAATACTAATAATAAAATTAAAAATAAATTATAATTAAAAAGTAAAATTTATATATTTTTATAATTTTTAAAATATTTTAATCAACATCACGTTAATTATGATAATATTATTTTTCAGCATGATGAATTTAAGATATATTTTCTTTTAATAAAAAGGTATATTAAATGAAAAATTGAAAAAATTATTATTAATTTTTAAATAAATTATATTTATATTTATAGATTTTTAATTTAAATCAACTATGAATACACACTTATTTTTTTATATTTTACAAATTTTTCACTATATATAAACAAAAATCATAAATTTATAAAATCGATATTTAAAACATAATGACCTATATACCTAATCTCATTAGGCATAGCCATCTGGCATTCTTATTTTGTACCATTTATCATACAAGTTTGACTCAAACTAAAAAAAAAAAATATATATATATATATATATATTTATATTATTTATCGAGATTTTATTTTTCTTTAGTTATTTCATTTAACATTTAAATTATTTAAATTAAATAAATAAAATGTGTTTGTAAATTATAATAAATATTATATTAATTGGATTAATTTTTTAAAATAAAAATAAACATCTTTTGATTCAAATTATATATATTTTTATTAAAAATTTATTTAAGTTAAATAAGACTATTGAAAAATAAAAATCATAAATATAACATTTTAAATAATTTTTATTATTAATAAAGTTATGATATTCGTCGTATCGGATTGATCTGATAAACATTCAAACTAAACCAATTAATTAAATCACAGTGTTAACTACTTTGTTTTCTTTTGCTCTAAATCTAAATTCAACCACTTACCGTTGATTTGTTTTTAAAATCTATTTTTCTTTTTAACTTGAATCAGGCATTTTATCAACCAGTTAATGTTATTTTCTAAATTCTAAATGCATATACTCTAGAATTTAGTATTTAAATTTCTCCTATATTTTTGTGCATTTTATTTCATTTTGATACTGTTATATGGTGTTATTAAGCTTTTTGGCTATGTTTATTTTTAATCTTCTAATAATATTCTGGGTAAAAATGTTATAGAGATTTGCAACATTTTAGTTTTAAAAATTATATACTAAAAAATAAAAAATATTAGTATTCGCCCTTGAAGGTACTTTTTATCACAAATTTTTATAATTCATTTTAAACATACAAAAGTTATAGTTTTTTTTATTAAGTTTGAAAATATTAGTTACATTTTATATTTTATAAAAAATATATAAATTTTAGATATTAAAAATTAATCTTAAGAGCTAATTTTATCATAACATAAGTTGATCTAAAAGTCTTCATAAATTTAATAATAATAATAATAATAATAATAATAATAATAAATAAATAAATAAATAAATAAAATAAAAAGCAAATTAAAAATTTATTTGATAAAACTAGTTAAAAGTTTATAATTTATAATTGATAAGTTAGTTAAAAATTATAATTTATAACCAATTTATTGATAAAACTATTTATTAAAATTATTTGAATAAATAGTTAAAGTAGATTAAATAACTAAAATATATAATACTATTATATTAATATAATACTAAACTTTATTGAATATTAGAAAGGGAACAAGAGTAGATTATTATTTAAATAGTTGAATACATTCACTTAGATTTGTCAGTTAATCCAAGGTGATACGTAATGTTATTTTGTATAAGTGTAAATTGTTTAGACTGTTAAAAAAAATATTAGTAATTATTTTTCAATAACCTTAAAAGAACTGTCAAGATAAAGATATTTAAATCATTCTTTCCACTAAAATATTGTAATTTTTAATAAATTTTATTTATTAATAAAAATATGTCAATAATATTTTTAATCCAACTATTATTTTTAAAAACTTTTTTATGAGTTATTAAAAGTTATAAAGTGTATTTAATAACAGAAGCTTATACTCATTTAAGAGTTTGTAATTCTTTTGTTAAACTATTTTTTCTGAAAGATAATAACATATAAAAAACTATTTTAAGTAACATTCATTTTTTAAAAGTCATCTAATATTTTTTATTTTTAATATTTTACTCGCATAAAATAATTATAAGATTTTTAACTATTTATCACATTTTAACCAGTTATTAATTTTCTCAAATTGAATTTAACTATTTACAAGCTATAAGTTTTTAAGGTAGTTATTAGCTACAAGCTTTATTAAATAGAGCAATAAATTTAAATTAATTTATCAAATAAAATTATAAACTCTTATTATTTTTTATTTATCAGATACTTTTATTGTATTATTGATAAAAAAATTTACAAGCTTTAAAATAAGCCATATACTTATGTTACTAAACACATTTTAGAAATTAACTGAAAACTATTATAGAAATGCATTAAAAGCAATTTTAATAAAAAATTTTATTTTAATTCTTTAATCATCATTCTCGAAGCATTAATTAACACTGGGCTGTTATTAAAAACTGTCAAACACTATTTTTTAACTGACAGTAATATAAAAATCAAAATTTAATGCTAAAAGAAGATAATTTATAATGATACTTTTTTTAAACATTAATAATTTATTAAAGATAAAATTATAGTATAAAAAATACTCTAATTTATTACAATTCTAAAAGAAATTAATAATACATGTTAAGGGATCTTTAATTTAATTTACATGTATAATAATAAAAATTAAATATAATATTTTTATTTTAATTAAATTATTGAAATAAAATTAATCTCATAAAATTAATTAATATGTTAATTAGTATTTTTAGTGTATTTGTTAAGAAATTTAAAATAAAACATCGCATAAAAATATAAAAATACATTTATTTCAACTAATATAGGATATTTGTTGGCAAAATCCTGGGAAAAAAAAAAAAAACGGATGGAATCGAACGTCGAACTTGATGAAACTCAAAAGACAACCGATATTGCCTTGTAATTCGAATTCAAAAAAGGACGTGATATTTCTCTCGCTGTAACGCTCTGTTTTTCTGCGCGCCAAACAGCCTGTCTCGCTCTTTAACATAAATATTAAAATAAGAAACAGACGAGAAAAAAAAAATTTAAGAATAAAGGGAGAAAAAAAAAAGGGGAAAGAAAAGGACAAGCGTGAAGTGGTTCTCAGATAAAACCCTTTGTTTGATTACTGCATTCGTCTCTCTCTCTCATTATCTCACTCCGAGTCTAGTGAGAGAAACGTATGCAGAGTTGAAAATGGCTCTGCTCACTCCCTCTTCGCTATAATGAAGAAACTTTTCTTCCTCATCTTCTTTCAAGAAGATGGCTCTCAGAGAACAACCTCACGATGCACACAACCACTCTCCCTCGTTCATCGATACCCTCCTCTGTAAAGAGCAAGATACCTTCGAGGATGATTTTGATGCCAATGGTTTTGAGTCTGAACCCAATAAAGATGGCGACCCCTCTGCCAGAAAGTTGCAATCTTTGCCCTTGGTTTTACTCCACAATGACTTGTTCTGGGAAGATGAAGAGCTTGTTTCCTTAATCTCCAAAGAGGGAGAGACCCATTTGTGTTCTCGCAATCTCATTGTTGATGGGCCCTTAAATGGGCCTCGTGTTGAGGCTGTGAACTGGATTTCTAAAGTTTGTGGGCACTATGGGTTCTCTGCTTTGACCACTGTTCTTGCTGTTAACTACTTTGATAGGTTCATCCCCAGCTTGAAGTTTCAGAGAGACAAGCCGTGGATGACTCAGCTCGCTGCAGTTGCTTGTTTATCCCTTGCTGCCAAAACGGAAGAGACCCATGTGCCACTTCTTTTAGACCTCCAAGTATGTTTTAAGATTGGGATGGAGTCTAGGTGTTTGTTGATATGACCACTTGTTTTGTTTCTCATGCACTTGGTGTTTTTCTCTGTGTTTGTGGTTATTAGGTGGAGGAATCAAAGTTTGTGTTTGAAGCTAAGACCATTCAGAGAATGGAGCTACTAGTGTTGTCAACTCTTAAGTGGAGGTTGCATCCGGTGACCCCAATTTCCTTCTTTGAACACATTGTTAGAAGGCTTGGTCTAAAGAGTCGCTTGCACTGGGAGTTTCTATGGCGTTGTGAGCGAGTTCTTCTCAATGTCATTGCAGGTATGTAATGTAATTCTAATGCAGGCTTTAACTAAAGTTTCTAGCTTTTATTTAATGCTAGTTGATAAGACCCTAGATATTCGTATAATCGCATTTAATCAAATCCGGATCATGTGAGATTGCTGATATCTATTTATGCAATGTCATAATTGTTGACAGATTCAAGGGTTATGAGTTATCTTCCTTCTACATTAGCTGCTGCTACAATGATCCATGTTATTAAAGAGATTGAACCGTTTAATGCTACCGAGTACATTGATCAACTTCTGGGTTTACTAAAGATTAGCGAGGTTTGTCTCTTTAATTTCATTGATTCATTCTCTGTCTTACCTGTGATTCTTGAATTTTCAAATCTGGTATTGATTTGATGAATAATTGGAAAATATTTGTGTTGATCTTACAGGAACAAGTGAACCAGTGCTACGAACTCATGCAGCAACTATTTGGTTGTTGTGAAGGCATTTACAGTCTTCACCCGAAGCGGAAGCGTCTATCTGAACCTGGTAGCCCAGGAGGTGTCATCGATGCATCTTTCAGTTGTGATGACAGCTCAAATGATTCATGGACAATGGCATCATCGGTCTCACTTTCACTGGAGCCTCTATTTAAGAGGAGGAGAGCTCAGGACCAGCAAATGCGATTGCCTTCTGTTAATCGTGTGTCAATTGATGTTCTTAATAGCCCTCGTTAATAACGATCTTAGTTTTCACTTCAAACGCGGTAGCTTTCTTTCACATAAATCTGGCAGTTATGTTATTCAATTATGTTCTTAGTTATATACATTTCTAGCCAAAATTTGACAATTAATGAGGCAGACTGAGATACCCTCATCCGCTGCGTCGTTTGAGGTGGAAAAGGGATCTTATAATGAGTAGAAAGATGAGTTATAAACTGGTTATTCTATGTTTGTGTTTTATTTTCAGTGCAGTTTTTGCTCGTCTTCCGCATGATGTTTGTCAATAAGCACAATCAAGAGATTTCCTTTGCTTATCATCTGCAATCTCTCCCCTGTTTGTACAGAACAGGGAAATGCATGCGGAGATTGCACACCGATAATCAAAGATGGGTGAAATGTATTGTTGATACATCAGATAAATTAATGAATCTCTTGTACAAGATCAACCAAAACCAATAAGAAATGTTGTATCTGTAGGTATGGGAAATAATCGCAGTTTCTTCTATCAAAATTCAATGCTTACCTTTCTATTACTTTCCCTAATAGCTTTCGAATAACCTACTGAATGTACAAAGGTATTTGTTTCACTTGTCATCCTAATCTGTATCTGATATACATCTTGGGCCAATTCCTTTGTTATTGAATAGACTAGATTACATATTAACATCTTTTTAACCATACAAGAAAATTCAAAAACTTGATTGTAATTCCAGCTGAAGGATTGTTGTTTATTGAACTTTTTCAGTTGTTCAGCGACCTTAGTCTGCATTCTAGGCCATATTTATATATCCCGCATTTGATAATTCTTTTGGGAAGAAGATTGAAATTTGAAGTGTATGGATGTTCAATGGTCCAGAGTCATTTCACATTTTCGCGGTTTGAAAATAAGTGGGAACATTGGACTCTTAAGCAAATTCGGTGTCCGGGTACAAATAATTTTTTGCAATGTTTGCTGTCATACTATTATTTGTGATTTGAAGATGCAGGTCCATGTGAGAAAACAAAGCTGCTATTCTTAGCAAAAGAAAACTAAGATGAATATCTTCTTTCCGTTAATCTACCTAGAGATGGGGGTTTCATTATTGCTTGTTGCATGCATTTGTCATTATCAAGTGAATTGGTCAAACCAGAAAACGCATTAGCAATATGATATATATGGAAATATAAATGACTTAAGACGAGTTATTAAGCAGCTGAGGTACTTGATCTGACCCTAACAAATATAGGTGACGCGAGATAACTCTTCTTTTCTGGAATGATGAATTCTCTCGTAAGTCTGAACCTTTAGGACTCTTGTCTGAACATTATGTTTGGAAAGTGAATAATTGAGCAATGTTGACAACATAGGTTGCCATTGGGAACAAGAGAAAATGGGTTTTCTGGACTCACTAAAGACCACGCAGTGCCCAAAAAAGAGCAAAGGAAAAGGGCAAAGACCGGTGACCAGTGAACGAATTCTCTGAAAATGACTGCCAATAAATTGGTAAACTCTGATTTGGGGAGGTTACTTTGTTCCTACTGTGGTCCTGATTTTTTTTTATTTTTTTTTGCTTTTGTCACTAAGTTGGTTATGGTTCGCTATATGTTGCAGATGCATGATGTCCTTGTTATGATTGTTTGCGAGAGTCCACAGCATGAGGGATTTTCAAAGTGACAGCTATATATTCCTGCCAAACAATAATTCTGGGTGATATGATGAGTCTGCTTGAGAGTCAAATTTGGTAGTTACTTTAGGTTGCTTTCTCAATTCTTTAGGGGAGGTACTAGCTAAAGTTACAATTGTTTGATTATTTGGTTTTAAGATTGTTTAGCAAACGTTTTTCCTAGTTTTGACAAAGTAAGTCCTTTCCACAAATTTACTCATGAACCCAAAAGCTTACTATAAACAAACGACTGTAATATTGTTTTACTTTCTGGAGGATAGGTGACACAGAGCGTAACTTGATAGTTAGTCTCTAACTAATTTGCACCTTAAGTTGTGTGTAAGAGTCTATAATGACCGTAGTATTGAATCATTGAATATACGACCGTGTGTTGGTGAAAGGATTCTCGTATACAAACCAAGAGACAGATAACATGCATGATGGTATCTAAAGTGCCTAGCATCAAAGCCATTTGACAAGTATCGCATGCTTCCCATGCACGTGCGCATTATTTGCCTTGTTACTTCCGTGGAAAATGCCAAATTCCTATAACCAATTCTGTTTATACATTCATATGATACAATGCAACTACATTGACTTAATTATTAGGCTTTTGAGTAACAAGATCAAAATACAGTTTACGGAGAATGAGGGTAATCTCTGATGAAGCATCTCTAACCTAAATTTTTTTTGTAGGCCCAAATGCACCATAGCATGAATTGGGAAAGGAGACGCCTACTGAAAACTATCATATCATCCGGTTACACAATGACTTACGCAAATCTACATGGTTAGATAGTATCATGTCAACCTAATGCAAAAGTTACAAACTAAAATAAGATTAACAAGTTCTTATTGATAACCATATTCTATAATTAAGCATATCTCAATAATATGAAGGTCGTAGTCTCGTTAGATAGGTTCTTTCTTTTTTGTCTCTTTCCATTCCTACTTGGCAATTTTCCTCATAGGAAAGGTCTAGGGATGAAGGGTTAAATATAAGCTTAAAACATGATGCACAAGTTAAAGATAGAGAGATTAATTAAGAAGAGGAAGAATAGTTCACATGTGATATAACAGAGCTAAAAAGTGAGTAGCAGTTGAGTAACAGCTATAAAAATTTGTTTTCTATACATTTAGGGGCAAAATGTCAAAAGGACTAGTACTTGTGTTTGTGCAATGGTGTGAACTGAAACAGGGAAATTCAGAAAGTAGGAACAGCAGGAAATTTCGCAAAAACTTGTCTTGGTCATCCTCATGTACTACTACAGTGTCTAAATACATATAAAAAAAATGGGTGTCAGTTTAAGACACCCAACAACTCCTTTGAAAGAACCTATGCTGCCTTGGTGAAGTTTCAGTCACAGAGTTATGAAGGTCGTAGTTCAGCAGAGTGGGCCACTCCTCTCCACGTATCCCTTGCTTTCTGGTCTATTTTCTTCTTGAGTGGTCAAAATCTTTAGTTAACCACCATTATAATTGATCAAGATTTGTCTCTACAACGGGTCAATAATAAAGGTCCGCCCTTAATGTTTTTTGTCAAATATCAAATGCTGTTGTGATCGATTATACCTTTACGTTTTATAACATTATTCTTTCATAATAATATAGGATGCCGTAGTCATATTTACAGTTGAAGTAACATTAATTGAGTAAACTCTTGAGTTGGCTCCTCAAATAATCAAATTGTAAGCGTCCATCATCTTAATCATTTAAAGTAAATAATGTTTTGTAAAATTAAGAATTAAATAAAAAAATTTCAAAGTAGGAGGCTAAAGTGTCTATTTTAAGGATTAATATGATGGTTGATTCAACAATTATTCACTAATCACTAATCATGGCTTGCTAATTTGATGCATCTGTCAGATAGGCTCAGGAAGCAACTTACACTCTGTATGATTTATTAGGTATGTATAGATAAGAATAATGTTATTAGAGTAGCATCCAATTTTAGATTGGCATTTCATTTCATTGAGTTCTTATTGAGAACTATATGAGATATAAAAAACGTAACAACACTGAAACAAATAAATGTTGTTAAGGGATGTTAAGAGACAATACCAAAAAAATATGGGCTTCACCAACATTAGAAAAACCTAACCCAACTCTTTTACATGGACCAACCAAATTGATACCCTGTTAATTCATTCCACTATGTTCTCATCAATTTGTAAGGAAGAATATAATGCTTGTAAGTATGGCTCTCTTTGGACTTCTAATTGGATTGAGTTCTTGAACTCCAATTCTGGATTAAGTTGTGGTGTTTTTTGGTCCATGAAATTAAACGAATCATATATTGTAATTATAATGTGACTTACCAGCAGTACTGGGCCTAGGGGAGTGGATGTAAGCCAAGTTTATATGTTATTTCTTTCACTTCTAACAGTAATGTTGCATCACCTTTTCTACCTACAATGGATATGCATATCAAGATGAATGCAACGGCATTTCATTTTAAGTCGAAAAGCTAATCATGCAAGTTCGAAATATGGACCACTTAGAAGAAGCAAATTGCGTATACATAGTATACTGATCTCACTCAGCATCTTATGGAGCCCATCTCTGGCTTCGGAAATTTCTATCTCTATCATTACTATCTTACTCAAAGACAACACCTTTTCTATCATGAAAATAGTGTCTCCACAATGATCGAATAAAACTGGGAAGAAAACAGATCACCGTAGTCTACTTGTTTCTTCTGTAAAATATGTAGCCATAATTTTACTCACAAACCTATATATAATAGTTATACATAATAGCAGAAAGTACATGTTTACTGGCAAAAGCTAAAATACTTAGCGAAAATACACAACTACATCCCTAATATTAAGGGTTGAGGCCCATAAATCACAAGTTGTACCTTGTCCTATCCTCCCACATCTCAGACAATGAAGCTGACACCTTGTACTCCGTAGTTTCTACGTTGAAGCCTGCTTCAGACCAGTTTGTTTTCTTAAACCCTCTCTCAAGCACAAAGCAGCCTTAGGAAGAGTTTATCTCAACTTATGAAAATATGTTAATACGTAAGTAATAGAAGTAGTAATATTTGCCTTACACGAGAATGAAAATTTTAAATAAAAGTGTAATAATATTTAAGTTATAAAGATAAATAATTTTTTCACACTTGAAGTTAAAAAAGTTATATAAATTATATTACTGTTTAAATTATAAAATAAATATTACATAATAAAAAGGAGGTAAAAACTTTATATAAAAGTGTATTAATTTATGAATTCTGTGGATAAATATGTAATCATAAAAAATTGAAATTTTACATAATATAAATTAATAATTAAATAATATAACATATCTATATTGCATAACTGAAATTATTTTAAAAGCATATCAATATAGATATTAAAAAATAACATTTTTACTTTCTATAAATTAGTTATATAAAAATAATTTCTACTATATACAATCTGCATGATTATCAACGGATGGCCTTGGCTACTCTAACATGAATTATATTCTAATATTAGTCCATTAAATTTCTAATATATTGGTACGCATAATTTTTTAAAGTTCTTGTCTACATTAAATTACTCTTTTTGGTACCACTTTAGTCTTTTATAA